CGAGCGTCGCATTTGATCGTCGCCAAGACGAAGCTCGCCCCGACAAAGGTCCAGACAGTACCCAGACTGGAGCTTTGTGCTGCGGTTCTGCTGGTTCGACTCGCGAGGCACTTGATCGACGATTTGAGATTTGCACCTGCAAAAGTTTATTGTTGGTCGGATTCAAAAGTAGTGTTGGACTGGATCGCCTGTCATCCATCGCGTTGGCCGACTTTCGTCGCCAATCGGGTAAGCGAGGTCCAGTCGAAGCTTCCAGATGCCCATTGGAATCACGTCCGCACTATGGATAATTCGGCGGACTGCGCTACAAGAGGCCTTACACCCCTGGAGCTGTCGGAGTTTTCCCTCTGGTGGTCCGGACCCGGGTGGCTTATTGAAGAGGAGGCGTCATGGCCGAGGCTAACAACAGCAAATGAAATTGCAGCGTCTGTGTCGGCTGCGGAGATCGACGTGCGAGTGGCGACTGATGCAGTGACGGAATGCTTACCGCAGGTGGCGCACTCGCTCTGTGCAACCGCGAGAGGATAGCAGTAGCGAGTGGATGAAAGCTCGACTTTTATGTTTTAAGTTGATTCAGGCTCATCATTTTGCGGACGAGATACGAGCTTTGAAGGCTGGAAAAGCTCTGCACAAGCGGAGTTTACTTGTGAGACTGACACCGTTTATCGACAGCAATGACATCCTGCGTGTCGGCGGTCGACTTCACAATGCCCAGCTGCCATTCGACGAGAGACATCCAATTATATTGCCGGGAAGCTGCCCACTTGTGCGTAGGATGATCGAGGCGACTCACGAGGATTTGTTGCACGGTGGGCCTCAACTGATGCGTTCGCACCTCTCACGCACGGTGTGGATCACTCGCGGCGTGCGCGTGATCAGAGGTGTTTGCCAGCGTTGCGTCAGGTGTACAAGATATAAAGCGGCGGCCATTAGTCAGCAAATGGCTCCGCTTCCCGCTGATAGAGTGAAGCCTGGACGACCCTTCTCTATCACTGGCGTGGATTACGCGGGACCATTGCCGGTTTTGTTCTCCAAGGGAAAAGGAGCAAGAGCAACCAAGGGCTACATCGCCATTTTCGTGTGCATGGTGGTCCGTGCTGTTCACGTGGAAATTGTATCTGACCTGACTACTTCGGCCTTTCTCGCAGCGTACGATCGCTTTGTCTCTCGTCGTGGTCCGCCGTCGGTGATGTATTCGGACAATGCAACAACGTTCAAGAGTGCCTCCAAGGAGCTTGCGTCGCTGTTCAGGCAGAGTTCGGCCTTTCGCGTCAGAATCGNTTGCAATCATCTCGTCGCATATTTCATTTTGGCCCGCAGCGGCAACAATCCCTTTGTTCAATTCCAACAGGCTTAGTGTGAAAATGCAAAGTCAGAAGAAGGGCTGTAGGATCAAAAATCTATATGATTCAGATGTTGATATTATAAAAGTACTGAATAATTTAATGCTCATAAATATATTTAAAAATTTATACTTAAAGTAAAAAATGTCTAATTGAATATCTTTGAAAGTGATCTGTTCAAGATTAGAATTGATAAAAGCAGAAAGTAATAAGAAAAATTTTTCAGTTTGCTTAAAAACGTAAAATTTCCTCAAAAGCAGTCCTAGCACTTTTCTAATACAAAATTCATTGAAAACTGTTTTACCAAGTAGAATCTAAATTAAAATTTCAGAAAAACTTGATTAATTATTTTATTCGTGTAATATAAAAAATTTGTTATGAATCTAACGATAAACGGTAAGATTTCTGCAGATAAACCAAAGTTTCATTTAATTTAGTTAAAAGGACAAAAGAATCTTTATGTTCAGATTACGAGTGTTGCAAAACCGATCGATTCCGTATTGTACAATTCTGGAATAGCTGTAAGGTTCAGCAAATTTCTCTCACTCCTTCTCTCTTACTTTGTCTTGTGCACTTGCATACACTATCTGCAGGCAATAGTGAAAGCTCTATTTTCCTCCTTCGGTATCTCTTTGCTATGAACAGCAGAAGCTTGTACGGTGCTCGGAAGCAGTGAAATTGACATGGTTGCGAGCAGGTGTATGGCAGTGCAGCAGTGTGATGCAAGCACAACTTCATTCAGCGATACAAACCATCGAGGCTAATAACGTATTACCAAAACTTGGGTTAGAAATCGATTACAGTCGGCACTTTTTATCAGAATATAAACTTATCTTTGTTGTTCCAAAAATTGAAATTGAATAATTTAGATGTATAGAAATATACTTTAAAAGTTATAAGTCATTTAAAACGGTATACTTGTAAAGATACATAAATGTTGATATTGTATCTTGATATTTTCAAGTTAAAATATAAAAATGAAAATTTAAAAATACATTAGGGTTTTATTTTTGGAGAATCCAATTAAGTTAATAGGTTGAAAATAAGTGTGCTCGTGCGTGAAAGAGACAGAGAGAAGTTTAAGAAAAAAATGACGCAATAACAATTACCCAGATTCCTCTGAGAAAATAGCCCCTGCAAATTTCTTACCATTACTTTTATTGGGGTACCTGTGAATGTAAGCGTGCCTAGTACATGTAGTGGCGAAAATAAAAGTTAGGCTATAATCACGATCTCCTCGTGAGATTTTCGAATTCAATTGGAAACTCTTCTTTTGCTTCAGGCTCTCTATTTTTATTTTTTTTTTTTTATTCTATTTATTTAGAAAACTATGCTTAAAGTGTCCAAGTTCTTGTGCCATCGCAAATGCGGCTACTCATGGTATTCGTGTATGCAAGCTCTTTTTTGTCAAGCTCTACTTTATGTAGCTTAGGTAGCAGTTAGGCTGACAGATTTCGATCGTTAATCTTTCAGTCTGTCTCCAGGTGAACTTGTAGCTTCACTGCATTTATCTCTCGGTTTATCCGCAAGAATCGTCGGTCATGCAAGCTTTATCTATTGATTCTATAAACACAAAATCAATAACACAGACCAAATACATTTAATGAAGCACGTCACTCTCAATTGAATTCAACCCATTTTTTATAAACGGACATTTTATAATCGATTGATACATTTTCCAAAAATTTTATTTTATGAAAAGAAATTTTTTTCGAGGAATCTGGCAAGGAGCTATGCTAGATACGGTCCTGTGTGATAGGGTCATTTCAAATATTAGTACAGTTACAGAAGGCTAAGCAATTTAATTTACTGTCACTAAATTCATAATTAAAAAAATTCTTAACTTTCATTAGCTATTATTCAGGAAACCAGTTATCAATTAGTAAAAGCATTTAAGTAATAATTATTATTAAGTTTACATTAAATTTGCAGATTTGAGGAAAATGAATGACAGTTTTATAATAAACATCCTTACGCTAAAGTTTTCGCTCGTGAAATCGTGAATTTACCATTATATTGCCACAATTCTACACATCAGTCCAAATTTATAAATATGTGTGCGGGTACTTCTATACGTGCAGGTGGCCACAAAACCACGGCCACGACCCAGCAAACCTACTGCAAACTTGCTATAAATGTAGAGCCGTCTCAGTTCTCCGAAGTGCCTACGCTTTCTCTGGGGCACTCTGTGCCAGTGGCCGCGCGCAGCCCCTTCCACTAGTTGCAGTTATCTCAGATGTGTATAATATCAATATAATAAATGAACATATGGCATATATACACGTACACAAGCTAAAACTCGAGAGTTGTATAAAAGTATACATGCATGAGGAACCACTGGAATATTTTGAAGGAGATTTTTTTGCTTATCTTGCCAGAATTTGTCGATTCTGCATCTCATTTTCCGGTTTACATACACAGGTAGTATATTATTTGCTACGGTTATTTGAATTTAGAGCTCAAATTCATGCGTGAAATTATATTTTTATGTATCCGTAATATTTTTACATCGCTGGGTGTACTTATAAATGTGTAATGTGCATGCAAACAATTTTTTTTTTAAATTGCTGAATGAATCGCGGTACTTAGGTGCTTAATTCATGTTCCCAATTTTTGAAAAATAGAAATCAAAGCTTACGCAACGGAATTTTTTAAACAAATTCAGAAGTATAGATTTTTGAGAGAGTATTGACTGATGCTTTTAATTAGAAAAGTAACATTACTGTATTTTAACTTAAAAAAATTTAAACAGCAACCAAAAAATAAAATTTTCCCCACTCTAACCTAAAATACGCAACTTTGCCGCTAATTTTAGGCTCTCGTAGGAAAAAATATTATCTCAAACTGGTGCAGATATGGTTTTTTAACAAAACTCGTTACAGCACTCGCCTTCGGCTCGTGCTATAATCCCTCGTTTTGCTAAAAAACCATATGTGCACCCGTTGAGAAATATACTATTTCAATCTCGTTTCTGGAAAGTTTATTGCATGTTTATCTCGAAGTCCTTATGATGACTTTTATTTTGACATTTTCGAAAGTACTGAAGAGCTTTTTAAGCAAATATTTAGTTAAAGGAAATACTAAAATGAAATTTAAATTTTTGGGCTAGTTTTGCCATCCATGTTACTCATAAATGTGGGGTTACGTTACAAGTACCAATTCACAATGCTTTTTTTCACTCGTGTTATTACTAAAAAATGCATTCATCATTACTCGGGCATTGATCACATGATTGAATTCCAACGCTAATAAGTTGCTAGCTTGAAGTAAAAGCAATTTGTCTCTCTTAATTCAACCAAACGACCATCAATCAGTTACGTAATTTTCGCCTCGCGCGTGCCAACGTCTCATTTGTTGGATGCGACATAGGACACAAATTGCCTGATGAAAAAATAAAAAGAAGAGCCCCATCGAAAGCTGCACGTTCAAAGCGCGCGCATTATATTTACCGCGGGTATATAACCATTAATTTTTCCCGACCATAAATTTTAGTTGTTTTAAAAAAATTTCATCTCTTGTAAAAACGCACACACGCGTAAGTCGCTGCGATAGCAAACTAGAGCATCGCCATCGCAACAAGTCGTAAAAATATTTGCCCAAGCTAAAGCGTTTATGAAAAAAGGACGTTATTGCAAGTACATCGGATAGAGGATAGGTAATACCAACCATACATATGCGTGCGGCGTTATATAGTATAAAGCTCACATAGTACACGTCACGTTTCGCACTAGTCTATAACCTCCCGTAGCGGACTAATATCGAACGTGGTAAAGCCACAGGAAGTAACTCGTTCGACATGAAGAGGTGCTTTTCCGTTTAGCTCGAGTCCGCGTGAGTAGGAGTATATAGATGCTATACGGCTGGCGCACATTTCATCGGCATCATTCGTCATAAGCACGTGTCACGCGATTTTATTCAGCAACTATGTCTTGCAAGGCCTTATCCGAAGTAAGCGTACATGTTTAATCTGATCATCAAATTCATGATTTGCGGATTATTGGACTTACATGGGCTGCTTATATGTGTTTTATTTTATCTTCTACCATGCATTAATACGATTTCGAACTCTGCAAAACTTACATGAAAACGTATGGTCGGGCTAATATTTCAGTAATTTGTAAAAAGAAAAGAAAATAAGATAAAATGTTTCAAACGCAGAAAATTTAAATTTAAATTAAATCTTTATTTTTTCTACTGTCATCGTGTTTCATTACTGTATAAATGGTCTTTAATCAAATTCGATTTCAGAAAAAAAATTGTACGATTTTTAAGCTCTCTTGTGTCATGTCATATCGTTTGTTATGATTTTCCGAAACCTTTTTACATAAAATTCTACGTATTCATGATTTATTTTAGGGGCACGCGAAAAATCGCAAAAATATTATTATTGAAGAATTTTTATCTTGCTGACTAACGGGTTATACTCGCCTACCAATAGCTATTATTTTACTGTAGATTCATTTTTCACGCTCAATCACAATATTTTAAAACATCCCTTTTATTACTTCGTTTACATAAATAACAAGTGTAATGCAAGTAAGAGAATCGCGTAAGATTTAATCGGTTAATCTCCATTCTCATTTATAATTTCAAAATCGCCAAGGAAAATTATAAGTCATTAAAATTCGATTTAATGAAATCGTGGTTTCTCTTATATTTTTGCTCGTATGAAAATGTACGTCCTAATATGAGCAATGTAAAAATATACAGACTAAATAACGTTTACTTACCAGACAGAAGTCAGCAAGCTAATAAAAATATAAATCCAATAATGATATAAATTTATCTGGACCGCTAATCGTTTTTTCGTGAATGAGACAACTTTATTATAATTCTAATTCTATATGTCCGTAAACATATTTTAATAATTCTAGGAAACTGTAGATTTTTCAAAATCTGGCACAAAATTAACGTTGTTATTTGTATTACAAAGATATCAATATTTTTTAAAAAATTAATATATGGGCTAAGCCATAGTTAGCGTGATGGCCAAAAAAATTTTTTTTCTTAAATT